CGGACCCCCCTAGAGGGTGTGTTATGAACTCAGACACTCAGGATATAGGACCCAATTGCACGACCCGGGAGATAGAGGTAAAGTATTGGTAAGATACTTTATTTTTCCAAAAAAGCAAGATGAAGATGAGGTCACTATCAAATCTCAGGATGAGATGACAAAAAATTAGAACAAAAGGAAATCACTCACGTAGTGAGGAACAACAATTTTCAGGAGCACAAAGAGAGCATAGACCTGACCATGGCAAGAGACAAGACGAACTGACACTGAACACTGGGAGACAGGGGAATTTAAACACACGATAACAAGACACACAGGTGAACACAATCAGATAATTAGACACACCAGGGAAACTAACAATAGGGAGGAAAACACAGGGAGAAGGACCAGACAATACACAAGGAGGAAAACATGACAGGAAGAACAGAACAGCAAAACACCCATTACCAGACACACCAAACGAAAACCGTGACATGACATTAGAATCGTGACAGGGTGTCAGGTCCACTCCCCATTTATAAAAATAGCACTTTACCACTGCACCCCCTCTAATCTCAGATGCACCCTGAATCATTTTGTTTAAGTACAGTGAGCCTTTCTAAAATATACAGTAAAGAGACAAACCCACCAGCATTATAGGATATACTATGACTTTGAGCCAAATTAGGGGGGGGGTTGTCTACAGAAGGTCCAGTTGTGATAGACACGGTAATAAAAGTATGAATACACTTTAACTTGATACAGTAAAGATTGTGTTTTGATTATTATGATTCATCTTCTGAGACCCATGAATGTGCAACATTTTCCCGATATTTGAGATATTTCGCAAGATTTTGGTGATAACCAAAGTGTGAGTAGGATTCATCCTCTAGGGACAATGAATGCATGTGCAAAACTTGATGGCAACCCATATAATAGCTGTGAGATATTTTAAACTGGACCAAAGTGAAGGATCAACAAACCAACCAAACATTGAAAATCTACAAATTCTTATCTGCTTTCATTGGATGCATTCCTAAATTCTCAAATAAGTCAATGGAGGGCTTTGAATCTCAAAGTATGACACTTTTTTTCCTTGGGAGCCGAAAGGAAAGATCAATGAAAAGGCCATTTGATTTGCTGGTTTATTCCTACTGTATCTTCCTGTGCTAAACACAATTTAAAGTCAGAGGACCAGAACCAGTTGAGTTTACGACATCAACTTCTGTTTTATCTCTCTAAGAATTACCAGAACTCTAGGGTACTATTTAATGTAAGAGGCTGTTGTCATGCCCTCCTCCAGTAACAATAACAAAGACTCTCTAAAGGAGTCGTTTTACGGAAAAGGTGCCAAACATCAGCCTCTGAGCTTTTCCCTGCCAACCAAGCCTTTCCCCAAAGACTTATGTTGGCAAGAGTTTCCAAAGAAACCATCCTCACAAGTAATTTATTTTCCCGTTTTGTGAATGTTATTTTAACTGTATTCCTGAAGGAAGTCTTTGATACGGTTGCTATTGATAATCTATTTGTAATTAACACCATATTACCCTCCTGCTTTAAATATGCAACAGTTCAAGGCCCTCTAGAGGACACCTTATTATAATTGTCTTGCTTGAGGCAATTATAGATGGACTGCAATCTTCAAACTGCCTTTTTTTCATCTAGTAGTTTTAGAAGCAGTTTCCTCACATGTATCATTTATGGATAACCACATATCAGGGAAACTGCAGTGAGATTGTAAAGGACTGTACAGTTCTTCAAAGGCCTCAAAGTAATTTCCACCTCCCTGCGTGTAATACTGTCTGAACCCCAAAGACCAATGCTATTATCATGTAATTTAATGTTATTCAGACATATCTTCTAAAGCTGATTAGCTAACTCCTAAATGGGCCCAATGGTGTGAGTCTGATTGATTGATTTGATTCGTAATGGGCTCTCAGGGTTAATTTAAGCCCAATGCTGCTTTTATTGCATCTGAGATGTCTACTTCCACCATGACTCACACAACACTTTGCCAGATCTTATAACTTAACTTGATTCATGAACTTCTTTACATAAAGACGTCAACAACTGAAACTTTCTGCAGTTAAGGGAATAACATAAAGTACATTTGGCACACTCAGTTCGGCGTCTATAGAAAAGAGATCAACTCAATGACAGCACCGCCTGCTGACCAATCAGAGCTCAGTGTGCGGAGTTTAAATCTATCAAGTCATATTACAGGATAAAGGAAATAGAGTTTAAACTGCCGTAGCCTATATGCAGAGAAGACGCCGACGTGTCGCACTTCTCATTCATATCACATCATCAATCAGATCATCGATCATATAATATCACAATATTTCCTTATCTGAGTCAGCTTCTCGAGCCGGATCTGGCTGTGCAACACTTACATTGTCACATATACTGTATGCAGAAGTATTATTTTAAGCAACACATTAAGTTGACGAAACACTTTAATGTAATTAAAGTCAGATCCACTCGTGTGATCATAAAACTGTTGTACGCATTCAAACCTATAATTCAAACACTATTTATTTTTTAACCAGTTGTTATTCACCTTGCAGGTGCAACTATGTGGCTTGTATCCTGGATTATATGTTTAAGTCATGGATGTTTAAAGTTCATATTTGTCTAATATTAGTTTACTTTTCATTAATGAAGTATGACGCTGCGCTGTCAGTAGCCTACACTTGTCCCTGTTTGTGATTGGTCAAATGTAGCTAACCCCGCCCCTTTCACGTGAACGCGCTCTCAGATGGAGAGAGAAACCCTGGCTTGATTTACCGAGTTGATAACCAGCGTCGTAGGACCGTTTAGCGAGATCTCGTTTGTTAGGGTTAGTTAAGATAACTCAAGCATATCCAGGGTCTGTTGAACTGGCTTCGTAGTACAGGGCACAGGTAGCTGCATAGCAGCGCTAATGTCAAATACACAAACATTATAGGCTAATATTTTTTATTTTACCAGGATGCAGTGACACAAATATTTGGGAAGCCTTCCCTAGCCTACAGTACCCACCACCCCTGCATGGGACATTTAATGTTGGTCTCATGTAGTCGATCAAACGCTTTCTAACAGATAGTCTTCATAGAGTTTTAATGAATAGGGTCTGCTCAGGTGAGGTTATTGTTAAAACTGGGGCACCGAAAGGCTGCGTATTGTCACCACTTCTGTTTCCTATTTACACAAATGAGATGACCATCCAGAGCAGTATTGTCAAGCTGCTCATATATGCTGACAATATGGCGTTTTTTGTCTTCTGCTGACAGGCAATATCATTTATGAGAGAGCTTATTTCAGAAAGGTCACTGTAGCCTACTTCAGGACTTGGGTCAGCAAAATCAGCCGGAAATAAATGTTGCAAAAACAACCAAAAACATATCACAGTCAGAAACCAAGTGGGACAAGATACACCATCCCTGTCATACTAATTATCCAGGCTTTAGAAATTGCGACATTTATTATTCAGACACTAACTTCCATCCATCCGTCCACAATCCCTCTCCATCCATCCATCCTTCCATCGCCCATCCAACCATCCATCAATCCATTAATCCATCTATCTATCCATCTATCTATCTATCCTTCATCCATCATTCATCATCCATCCATCTTTGTAACCACCACTGTAAAAACTATTCAGAATGTGTAATGGTTAATTTACCCAATTTTTCTCAGGATAAAAAAAGTATTCTGACTCTAAAAAAAACAATATAACTTTGCTAGTATGTTTCTCTCGACTGTAACCTTACTTTATTCTATGTGTCATTTCTAGCCAGGGAAACATATGTACTTATTCTCTTTTGCCTACAAACCCACCCTGGTGAAAGCATTCAATTATTCAGAAGTATATTTCAATAATCCTTTATCCAAGCAATGTGGCCCTGCTCTCTAGATGTGCTTTGTGGAAAGAGAAAATGTAACCAACACAGTGGCTGTGTATAACTCTACTTGAATACATTCTATGTTTTCTCCTGGGGGAAAGTTCTTGTTTACCCAAGATCTCCAAGAAAGCATTTGCCCTAACAGGCTATATTTCAGCTGCAAGGGATATCCAGTGTAATAGGAAACAACAAGGTACACCTGAATACGGAAAGCTGGTAAAGTTAATGACAGAGTGGCATTTAAGTTAATGATAGCTAACCATCATAATGTCAACAGTGAAAAACAATATTTCCATGTCTGGAATCGAATGTTGTCTTTTTTTTTAAGTAAACCTTTCATAGGAGCCAAATCGCCTACTTTTCATGAATTGATTCCCCCTTCAGATATATATTTCATGTTTAAGCAACCAGAAAATGCTCCGTTTGGGTTTATTACACAGTTAAATTCACTTACACTATTTTATGGCTCAGTCAGTAGGGACTCGGACTGTGAGCCGTAAGGTCGCCAGTTCAAGTCCCCGAACAGACCCAAATATGGAGTGTGGACTGCTAATTGGAGACATCCCAGTTCACCTCCTGGGCTCTGCCGTGGTGCCCTTGAGCAAGGCACCAGACACCTTATTTAAAGTATGAGCCTACAAAATAGTACAGTTTACAGAGAAGAGATACAATCTGATCCTTTACAACAAACACTATATGTTCTTTTTGGTGTTTAACTAACATTGCAGTCCTGCTAGTAATCCTACATTTTTAGAAATGTAACAGTAATCTGATTGCGTCTTTATGTAACTGTAAGGAAATTCAGTTACCTTTTTTGTATCCTCATTACTCGTTACACTTACATGTATTCCGTTACTCCCCAAGTCTGTCAATAAAGTAAAGTATATTTGATCGAATCTATAGCTGCATCATCAGGTCAAAAACAAACACCTGCAAAACATTCTGATCATCCTCAGTTTCAATTTCTCTTAGCTTATTCAAAAAATGTGTATGCTAACATGCTAAGCTAAAACATTGAACATAGTTAGATCATACCATCACAACATCACCAACATAAGGCTATTGGAGATTCTAGCATGGCTCTGGACTGTCACTCGTGTCAGCTATAAAGCAAATAATACATCGCAATACAGATTTGACATGAATAGAGTCTTTATTGTTCATCGCTCTTTCTGCACAAGTAGACAAAAGTTCACATTTGAAATAAGATCGATAAAGTAAAAGGGAAGGAAGCAAAGAGATTATAGAAGGGAAGAGAAAATGTCTGTTATTTGATGCATTTGTGATAAACGTAGTTGGACTGTCTGCAAAAGTTACAAATTGAAATGATATGTAAATGTAGGGAAACTGGACAACATTATCAACTCACCATATAACACATCAGAAACATTTGCATTTTTGGAAGCGATACTTATCACTTCTAAACTACATTGCTTGATTTTATTTTATGACTGTCAGCTACACACAGCTCTGCTTTGTCAAGAGGGGTTATAATCAAATGTCATTACAGTGCGTTATCTTTTTCTTTAATAAAATCCTATGATTACTCTGAACCTTTTTATGATGATACGCACCAGTCACAGTCAACACAGAGACATCTAATTGAAAAACAAAACATCGACAGTTCAAAAGGTTATATATTACACAGGCAGTGAAGAAACTAATACGTTTTAATAAATATCATTTTAAGTTAAATTGCAAATGTCCTGGTGGGCAGCCAATTGTAACGCCATAAATTAATACAGACCCTCTATTAACAGAAGGCATAGAACGCATGAATAATTCATCGACTAGAGAATTATTGATGTCCTCCCAAAACATTCAACTCACATTATGCTAACGGTCGATCAAGGTACTATATAAAAAAAAAAAAAAAAAGTACAGTACAATGGCTCATTACAGCAGTATAGACTTTGAAGCCTTGAACTGATCAAGACACAACATGTTTTTCTTCATTCCAGCAAAGCACAAACACATATTCAGACGTGCATGCATTGATGTAACACATGAGAAAACAAAGACATCTGCTTCCATTAAGCGTCCGATACATAAAAGTGCGGGAGGAGGAATAAGTCAGAAGGTCATGAGAACGTCTCGCTCTTGCATGCTGGTGTAGAACGGCTTGCTGAACACGAACGAGTGCAGTCCCGCCCTCAGCTTCTCGGCGAAGGCCATTACGATGTGCAGGTCCCCCTCCACCGTCAGATCCAGGTCTGTCTTTAGGTTGCGCAGGGATCGAAACGGCTTCTTCCCTTTCTGCCTGTGAACAGAGAGGAGAGGCTTTGTTGTGTAACTGCTAACAAGCCACAGCACTCGGGGGTCAGAGGATTTGCATCTCGTTGGGCTGCAGCTGTGCACAGGAACGCCACGCCACCATGAATTATGTATGTCGCTGACGGCAACTGTGCATAAACAATCTTGTCGAGGCACCTGTAATATAGTATGCTCCTTGACCTCAGGCTGTTAGCAGCACCATAAACAAAGGATGCTTTTTTCCACTTTCGCAGTTAAGGTAGAGTGAGATATGTTCAGGCATTTACTCGGATTTCCATTTAGTTACGTTAGATTCTTACGTGTTGCATTAAGATTCAAAAGTCCAAAAGGTTGTGTAAATATGTGAAGATTATGCGGCTGAACAAATGTGGCCCAAAATTGTTATCGTTTATTTTTTGCAATATTCCAAAATCCAAAGGAAAAATCCCATTGGTTTTGTTGAGGAAGCCCTTTTCATAATGATGTCATCCCTGCACCACTAGACTATTAAACTATATAAATATATAATAGTAAAAAAACACAATGATGGAGAAATAATTATTCTAAATACATAGGTTGAAAATGTATACAATTAATAAAACCATATTATATTTATTATTATTATTATGTATTCCCATAGTGAAACACCTTACTCTGTTATCAAAGATCAAAGGTTATGTTAAGTAAACCAAAGTTTAATCCACTCTTAATCCTGTTATATTTTAAGAACCTGTCAATTCGTTTTTCCGAGCAAGAGAGCTAAGCATTTTCTTTATAACAATGTAACTCTTTTTAAATTAGAACAACGAGGGATTAACCGTACCTCAAAAGTACATTTTTCAAAAAGGTTAGAGCTTTAAATTACAACTAATTCCCATTATATATCTGGATATATTGTAATATTACACTTTAATGCCTATTTGTTGGTGTTGAGCCTTTTAAAATTAAATCTTTTACTGAATTAATAAAACGGTTCGCTCTGCCGCTTGTTGGACACACAGGGAAAAGGTTACGTAAATGATCGAAATAACAAAACATTTATTTTCCAACTTTTCTTAGGGTAATAATGTCATAAAATATGAGAACAGATATTTGAAGCTTTGTTTGAAAATTGCCTGAAAACTGAGTGTAAAAAGAACAAAAATGACAACATTCAGTAGAGATGACGGTTGCGCTCCTTCAATCCAATATGATAAGCTTACACAAAGGTAATGCTCTGTAGATCTAGGTGATAATTCCCTCTGGGTTCATCACTACAAATGAGCCCTTTCACATTACATACAGTTGTATGATTCATTGTTAATAAAGAATATTCATTAGTGCAGCTTTAGGATTTTTAATATGGTGCCGCCAAATGAAAGTGCAGATTCAAAATACCAAGGGACAAACACTAAGGAGCCATGGTGTGTGTAATTTTGAGTGGATAGGCAATTTGTGTGCACACAGGCTTGATTGATTTACAGATTCAACAATTCAATCTCTCTCCCAGTCCGTACTGCTGTGTCAACCAATGTTCACTAAACATTGTTAGATTTAACTGACTTTCTACTGTAAATGGTGTAAATGTATCCTTAAAAAATATGTCAAGCTTAAGAAATGTAATCAACATTACGACAAAGAGGAATGAAGAAGTGCCAGAAGCAGAAGTTACAAATATCCTGGCTTGCACGATAAAGAACTATTTGCTCAAGAGTCCTCAAATGTCTTTGGTAAAAAAGAAAATAGCCAAATCATGTAGAAGTAGGCAAACAGACTGGGGAGTGACTGCTGTCCTAAAGGAGTGGGAAGGTTAGTCCACTGTCGGGGAGCACAGAAGGTGATGAGTCGTGCCCAGATGGAGCGATGACCAGGGTGCCACAGGGAGGGGGGCACGGAGCAGAATTTCAGGAAAGATGAACTTGCGGTGTCTCAGAAGAATTGTAGGGGTTAAGAAGGTGCTTACTGTAAAACTGATGGGACTGGAGTGTGACTAGAGATACAATTACCTAGTTCTTGTACTAGGATCTGAACAAGTTTCCCAGAGAGGAGGATAATCACATGGAGGGTAAAGCTATAGTACTGGTTTAAGGTTGGGCCATCGAACAAGGGCATGGTCCATCGTGATAACAGAAACTTTACCAATGGTTCTAACATGTTGCAAATACTATTGAACATGAACACAACAAGTGTCAATCCCAAAACAATTACAGTGATCGGTTTGGATAGTGCCATTGCCTATTTCTCCTGACAGAATGTTTCCGAAGGAGTGTGTTGGCTACACAAAGCGCTATTGCTACAATTACATTTACAGTCTAGGGAAGGCATTTTCTTCTAGCGAAATAACGTTTTCCACCAGTTGTTTTGTCCACATTTTGGATAGAACTCAAAACAAAAGTCTGCCTTATGCTCCAACGCTGCTCTGGCTTGTTTTCTATGTGCTTTGCTGAGATGGGCCACGTAGCGCCAAAAGGTCTTACATTTTAAATGATTTCTCGATTTTACAGTCTTGTTTTCTGTATTACTTATATTTTAAGAAAAAGGATTAGCACGTGCAATTTTTGTTATTATAGAAACAACTTATATTGGGATCCCCCGAATCAAATAACTACCTGACAAACGAATAGTAGAAAATGTGGGTCCATCCCAACTTTTGTTAAATTCAAGCCCTGAACATGGAAAAGCTGCCTGTATTCTGCAGTTTCACAAAGTTGTGGTGTCTGCCATTTTAGGCAAGTTTCATCGCTGGCCCACGTAGGCTTTCAGATAAGCTCGACACATCTCTATGCCTTCCAGGAGCTCAATCTTCACGTCTTCCCACACTGCTTTACCACCACTACGGTCCCTCCCGTATGGTACTCAAACAACTTTATTATCAATCCTGAATTTGAACTCCATGATCGTAACAGTTTGCTTAGTTAAAATGATAGAACCTTTATCGTGGTATTATAAGACCCACCATTGTTGGTATCATCATCCATTGCGATATTTCCCTGTGGACATCGTCATATGCCAATCGGTCACCAAACCCTTGTTTATCCTTCAGTCAATGTTGTGTTAACTGCCTTAATGGCACGACACATTAATGAAAAGTCTGATGAGAGGCACTCATAAGCTATCGGGTCACCTTGCAACCTGCCATACAGTCTCATTTACGCGCCTCAGGAGGGGAAGAGAAGTGAGAGTCTCTTGTCAGTGATCAAATGAGGATCATAAAAACTCTGATGATGCTGATAATGATGAGGGTCTCTCAGATGTTGAGCGGTGGGCACTGGGAAGGCTATGGCATGTGCTTTGCATCACTTTCTTTCCCTGCACATTATTCACCTTGTGCTATTTGGATGGGGAAGCTGTCACTCTGGGATTATGTTGAGGATTTATCACACTGCATAGCCAGACACCCAGCTGCCTATTCTTCTAGTTTCCCCCAGCACCAATCACCTCATAGCAGTCCTGTGAGCATGACTCACCAAATGTACTTCATGTCATTTAGGGTAACGATGAGGCTGCAACTAACGAGTAATAACATATATACATTTAGTCAATAACATTAGGATTCCAAGTCCAAAACCCAAAGATATTTTAAAATGATATGAGATAAATAAAAACTCTATTTCTCAAACACATCCATTGATAGCAACTTGAAACCAATTGATATTCAGTCTAATATTATGGTTTGATTTGGTTTGAAGTGCTCTCAACTACTAAAGGTCTGAAATGACGGACATGTCTTCTTACTGTGTTTCAATCAAAGAATATAGTTTCATCAGGCAGGAAACCTTTTTTTTTTTACCTCTGGTTGTGTGTGATGTTTAACAATCGGATAAAGTATGCCATAACTCCTGCGTATGAGAACTGCTATCCTGGTGTTACAGGAAGACATAGGGCAATCATAAATATAGATTGCCTGTTGATCTTACGTTTAAATAAAAGATGTACAGTACAGTATGATGTCTATGTCTTTTCAACCTCATGCAGGGGACACGAAGTGAACAGCAGACTTTTACATTGAAGTTTACATTAAACCTTTCGGGACAGAGGATTTAGACAAAGACTGTGTTGGTGTGTGTCAGAACAGGGTGAAGGATTCTCTACTGCTCTAATGCCTGTGTTCGTTACACTTTTTCTTCTGCAAAAACTAGCCTGCTTTTACTGTTGTGGTTTAGACTTCTGAGGGCTGGTGTTCAGCCCGCACTAATGTTTTCCTGTTTTGTCTACTGTAAAAAAAAAAAACACACTAGACCAACCCTAACACCCCCTAATCCTAACCCGTGGTGACGTGTTTTTGTGGACCAGCTTGGAAGTAAAGCTCCGCAAGGGCTCCCTCTACAAAAATAGTACGTTCCCATTCGATCTTTGGTTTAAGCAGAAAATAAGCTCTATTGGAAACAATCGTTTTACTTTTATGATTTTTGAAGCGTAAATGCAATCACCAGAAACAAAAAGCTAACGTAAGGCTATCAACAACGCTAAGCTAAAGGTGGCTAATGTTTGACGTGATGACATTTTGTGATCTCCTTTAGTTTAATGATGTAGACCAGGGGTAGCCAACACGGTGCCCGCGGGCACTCAGTCGCCCGCAGGGGGCAACGTGAGTGGCCCGCGGGGCATGTTCTAAAAATAGCTCACCAAGCAAATCCAAAATGTATAAAATACACAAAACAAAAAAGGAAATGTAATTAAAATAATCTACCCTATACATAAACGAAACCTAAATCATAGCGAACTCTATCTACTTACTACAACTCTATATCTATCTAACACCCCTCCTCCCCCCACCCCGACAATGAATATCGACCAATCACGTTTTTGCTTGATTTGCGGGACCAGCGTTGCAGTCGGGAAGAAAAGCAATGTGGCACCTCCCCGCTGATTTTCCTTCTGGCAGAATCTACACAACACATCAGCCCCATTGAACACAGCCTAGTCGTGCCGGCCCATACAACACATGAGGGGCAGAGCTTTACTCTGTGTGTTGTAACTTGCATATATATTTATTCCACTGGACACACACTCACGCATCGCGTAATCTCCACTGAGGACAGGGGGGGGGCATGTCCCCCGCACTTTTCGAAATCCCGTTTGTGTCCCCCCACTTTACAAATATGTTTATTATTTTATTTTTTAACGCAAGCCGTCATCGCCACGGAGGAGCACACAGCCTCTGTGAGCGAGCGAGACAGAGGGAGAGAGAGAGAGGGAGCGAGGGAGGGAGGGAGAGAGAGAGAGAGCGAGAGAGCTAGGGAGAGCACACTTTTATCTATTTAATATAGATAAAGTAAGAAATCATTCCAATGTGTACTATAGGACAGTACAAAAAAACAGTTTAAAAGGGGAATGTGCATAAATAAAAAGAAAGAATGCTAACATCAGATAAGAATAAACAAGTTTAAATGATTTGTTATTGGTTGTGATCATATTCTAAAGATGATTGGAGTATTGAAAAGTATACAGCTCCCTTTCATCTGAGTGTTGAGAGCTGTATCCATGAATTCATGTTGTGCTCAAAGTGCACCAGATTGATGCATTTCACTTCAACATTTTAAAAAACATCTTCCTGGGGGTGCATGCCCCCGGACCTTAGAGGATGTCAGGTCCCCCATGGAGGATGTGAGGACCCCCCTAGAGGATGTCAGGTCCCCCATGGAGGATGTGAGGCCCACCCCAAAATAAAGCAGGTTCAAATAATTAAATTGAATACATGTTCTTTTAGTAAACACTGAAAACGGGTCCCACAGACCCAAACAGCACTCAAAGGTTAAAGGTCAGCATATCATAATGTTAAAATGTGCTAAATATATACACTGCAAAAAAACAAAAAAAAGAGGAGTAAAAGTAGCTCCCGACTTGTTTTATTTTTTGAAAGTAGCCCTCACCCTAAAAAAGGTTGGTGACCCCTGATGTAGACCAAAACAACATTTAATCTCGAAAGCTTCTGTTCACCACAGACCTAATTTAAGATATCTTACTAAAAACAGGGTCACTGTTTACTTCGATTCAAGATAATCGGAAGCCGTAAAATGGTAACTAATTTCTGTTTTTAGGAGTCATTCCTGTACCACATCTATGTTGTTGGTTTCAGCTGGTTCCCCACACAGGATAACAATTTGACATATTTGTACTCAGAACGGGGGGACGTGTGTTACATCAGACCTCACAAGGCTTTTGATTTGTATCCTGTGGCTAACAGTGACTTTCAGCACAGGGTCAGTGGCTGCAGTCAAATAACTGAATTAAAAAATGTATTCTACAATACATCCAGGGAATGTTATTATCTCAAGATATGTGGATGGTGACATACTGTATATTGTTGTTTTTCATTTTCGGTACAACAAATATTTAATCTGAATGAAATGATCATGTTTTAATACCACTTTTGATAATCACGGTGAGTTTTTTCAGGGGGGAAATGCTAAACAGTAGGTTTTAGGTTTAAAACTATTTTTCTCTTTATTTATTTCAATCCTAAACTCTCTTGCTTCAAATTATTTTAAAAAGGCAACAGGTTCTCAGAATATTACAGAAACCCCATATAATTGATATTTTTTAATATCCTTAGTTTTCTTTCTTACGTCTTTAATTATGTTTTAAATATTATATCTATTTTATTTTCAACCAAATATTTATAATAATTTTGTATCCGAAATTGCAATGTTTTATTTTCATCCACTCATAATTATTGGATGCTAAATACATTTGATAAAAAATGGTAGACAAAAAGAGCATCATCATGTATTTAGCCTTTTCTGTCTGGTCTTTCTGTGTGGGTGCGATGGTCTTTCGCCAAACGACAGTCCTCTGGGTTATTTGGATGAAAGTGTTATTGGTTACAGCTCTTACGTTTCGTCCTCGATGTACTTGAGCAATGTGAGGGCCTTCCTGTGGAGCAGCAGCAGGAACTGGGCCAGATAGGTGCTCCGCAGGGACAGGCCCGGCTTCAGCATGAACACCTGGGGACGACACAGGATGTCAATTAGTAGTCCGGCCTACTGCTCGCTGTAAAAGGCTGGAATAATGCACTCCAGCTCCTTTATGCTAACCTTGAGAGAAATATGTTGCTGTTGTCGTGAGAAAAACCTGGGAGCAGAGTGGTGGGAGCATTCCAATCAAGGGTTTGATGCAAAGCCTGGTCAGTGTTCAATCGCACTGCACCCCAGACAAAATATCAATACAATGTTACAAATGGTATAACATGGATGTGTGGATGTATCAATGGTGTTTCGTCGTTGTCACATGGGTGCAATATGTGGGTGTAATGTGGGTGTAAAGTGAGTAAATCGTGGGTGTTACATGGTTGTAACATGGATGGGATGTCGATGTAACATGGGTGTGACGCCTGTGTTACTTGGGTGTGACATGGGTGTAACATGGATGAAATGTTGGTGCAACGTGGGTGTAAGATAGGTGTTATAACGTGGTTGTATCATCAGTCTAGAATGGGCGTATCATTGGCGTAACATAGATGTAATATAGGTGTATCATGGGTGTAACATATATGTAACATGGATGTAATATGGTTGAATTATTGGTCTAATATGAGTGTAGCATAGGTCAAACTTGGGTGTATCATGGGCTGCGCATTGGTGTAATATGGGCATAACGTGTACAATTTATCTTGGGAGATACAGAGTGTAAATTTGAAAATAAAGTTAATATTTTCAGAACAAGCCATGAAATTGTGTCCTATTAGCCTATATACATTAGAAAAGAGCAATTAATCCCTTTTTCCATGATAAACTCTCGCTCCTTTGTGCTAACCTTGAGAGAGAAACATATTGCTGTTGTCATGAGGAAAAACTTGGAACCCCCACTCTGGGAGCACTTTCACAGGAACAGATGATGGGTTTGGACCCTTGGGAATACATTTGACTGTTTTTGTGTCTATGAGCTCCAGGGACTGCATCAGTGAGGTGTCACTCAAGTGTGTGTTGCTGCCTGATACAAATCCGGGTCTGTGCTAAGAAGCACTGTACTGCAGAATAAGTCAAAATGGATCAGACACTTTTTGTCTTAGTGACACTGTTCTTTTTTTGCTCTTTCAGATACATACCTCTCACAGAACTCAGCAGGAATATAGAACAAAGCAATGTATATATTCCTTACAAACAGATTCATATTGGTGGTTAAAAAAAGGGTATGACTGCTATTTCATTTCAAATGTAAATAGTGCTTTTTATCCAGTGCTTTACCATTTCTCAAATTTTCGCTCTAAATGATAATAATGGGAATAATAAAAGTTTGCTGAAATGTTGTATTTGATGTCATTATTTCTGTCAATATTCTGAAGGCTTTTCTAATTCCTTTTTATTTCTCTCTTTACGTTGGGATTGTTTTTTATTAAATACAAAATTATATATAAAAAAATAATACAATATAAAAAAAAATATTCTTACCTCGTCTATAAACGACTTCACCAAAGTGTCTTTATGCATGACGTCTTGAAATATATTCCTTGGGGAAAAATACGTATTGTGTTTAAAATAGCATATTTTTGGGGAACAGTGTTAAAAGGTGCAAATATAACACTATTAAAAATGCAGAAAATGCAGTGTGTGTGTGGCTCACAGGTCAGGTGTGAAGGTCTCGTCGGTGTGAATGACTGTTTCGGGGGGGATGTCGTCCTCACTGTCCGTCTTCCAGAGCGCGCTGAGCTCGGAGCGCATGTAGCGCCGCTGGTTGTATGTGTGCTCGTGGCACGGCGGCATCTGCTTCACCGTGTTGATGTCCACGTCGATGTGCGTGGTGGGATACGGGGAGTAGAGCACCTGGCGGAAGGGCAGGACGAAGCTGCCCGTGGAGTCCTGGGGATAAAACATTAAAGAAGGGGGGAAACCCAGTCATTTAGCTTTCATCCAGAACGACTTATAGACACTACAACACAGTAGACCAGGGGTGTCAAACTCAATTTCATCCCGGGCCACATCAGCATTATGGTTTCACTCAAAGGGCCGGTTGTAATCTTAATTATATATAAATATACATATGTAAATTTATAATATATATTAAATAATGTATTATATTACATTGTTGGCCCTGCCTTGGATTATTATCAGTTCTGGTAATATCTTCCTAAATAACTACGTCTGAAAGCAGAAGTCGAGGGCAAATCATTGAAAGTAAATATTCAACAATTACACCAATTGTATTGTATATTATATTCTTTGCAAGCTCTTGCGGGCCACATAAAATTAGGTCGCGGGCCAGATTTGACCCCCGGGCCTTGAGTTTGACACCCCTGCCGTAGACCTATGTGAGCTATTTGGGGTTAAGTATCTTTCCAAAGTATTGTGTGTGTGTGTGTGTGTGTGTGTGTGTGTGTGTGTGTGTGTGTGTGTGTGACAATGGGAGACACTATTATCTCAAAAACATTGTGAGTAAAGAAACTGTGACATGTAAAGAAAGGATTTTCACTAAAACATCCCTCAGAGATGTCTATTCTTCTTGTTTTTTAAACCCATACTGTGAGAAAGGAACTAGATTATCTGAAAGATTACTTATTTTTGTTTAAACCAACAGTGTGGGGACACCTGCCAGAGACAGAGTCACAGGGACTGACCATAAAACAGGAAAGGGATATAAAAGAAGGAGGAGGGTCTGGAGGGGGAGGTGTTTTGACTCTGGACCCTAGGGTGGGGGAAAGGAAGAGGTAGAGGATTCATTTGAAAGATCTGACTTGATTGTTGTGTTGGTTGAAGGAAGAGACACGGGCGAGGAAGAAGCAGAAAAATAACTTGTTTGTAAAAAGGACGGCACGTCTTTTTTTCTCAAATGTATGTCAGCTTCAAGAAAGATGAGGTTTTATGCCTGACGTGCAAAATATCCTGCAACCCTTCAAAAAAGAAAAGCAGGTACAGGTAAAGTCTGTTGAAACATTTCACAAAAAGTGAGTTGTATGTTGTAATAGTTGTATGTTGACAAAAATCTCTGTGTAGTTTTTCTAAATATAATGAACGAAGTCATAAAGGGAAAAAATAGCACAGTATGTGAAAAATATGAAAACAGCACATTGAAAAAAGTAATGTTATGTTAGCATAACATGAAATAATTCACAGTAAAGCATCTAAAAAAAAAACATTAAAAAAAGTCAGGTTATCAAAGTTATCAAAACTGGAATGTTTCACCGAAACAGTGTTAAAATCACAAACTTTCCATTTAGAGTTTGATTCTTTAAGAAACTCAATTCATTACAAATTAATTCATATTTTACCAAGTTGTAAAGTTTTCATCCATTAAAGTGTAACTATAAGTATCTTTGTAGGAGGAAAAAGCTAAAATCATTGAAGTTATTTACAGAAAACTGCGTTGTTTCACTAAAACTTCCCTTTCAAAGTCACATTCTTAAAGAAAATCTGTTCAGAAAAAGTACTTAACTTTCTACCAGTTGCAAAGTTGTCATACATAAAACTGTAAAAAAGCTAAAACTGCCTAGTGTCAGTAAAATAAAAAGTGTTAAAATCACAAACTTGCCTTTGAGAGTCACAGTCTTTAAGAAAATACATTTGTTACAAAGTAATTGACAATCTACCAGTTGTAAAATGTTCCTACATAAAAGTGTATAAAAAAAGTATCTTGGTAGCAGAAAATAACTAAAATATGTAAGGTTATCAGAAAACAAACCCATTGTTCAACTGAACAAGTCTTAAAATAAAAAACCGGCCATTAAAAGAAACCCAATTCCTTACAAAGTGCATGCTATTCTACCAGTTGTTAAGTGTTCATCAAAGTGTATCTAAAAGTATCTTAGTAACACAAGAAAAGAGAAGTCATCAAAACTACACTGTTTAACTGGATTGTCTTACTTAAATCAAAAACTTCTAATAAGAGTCACATTCTTAAATAACATCTATTTAGACAAAGTATTTCATTTTTCTAGTTTAAACTTTTTGCATACATAAACGTGTATCTTACATTTCCTTTGTGAGAGAATTACGCACAAATCTGTCATCTCAAAACATTCTATTGCAGTATTTTATCTGTTTTATCGCCTCTATATATATATATATATATATGTTGCACTGTTGGAGGAGCCGGTGACGTACGTTTTTAATTGACATATCTACTCTGTAGCTAATGTGCAGATGACAATAAAAGCCTTGAAACTTGAAATGATCAAAACTGCATTGTCTCACTGAACCAGCCCTACAAATCACAAACTGCCTATAAAGAAACCCAATTCCTTACAAAGTACTTCATATTCTACCAGTTGTCAAATATATATATACACAAGATTTCGAGATTTTTGCCATGATCTTTAAACAAGTCAAGTCAAAAAGCTCTAGGTCAATAAATATGACACATCTTTAAAGAGTCCATGTTGTTGGCACACGTTGACTTAAAGCTCATGAGGACAACACAATTGGAAGAACCACTTTCCAACTTGAGAAATGGGACCATACATGTGCATGCACCATAGGCCTCTGTGGTTGTCTGCACTCCCCAATTGACGTTATAGTTATTTTATGCGATTTCTGAGAAAAGGTTTTTATTATTCTGCTTAGCGTGTGGGAAGTCTGTTCTCTCAACCACATTCTGTCCCAATTTAAAGAGCACACAGCACAGAGCACACTTTGCTTCTATAAGAGGAAACAACAACAATAGAAAGCATCTCGCTCGCACAAAGAGAAATGATTTATTGGAAATTCTGATGGTAGATCCATCACAACATCTTATATCTATGTCGTATATGCACAGAGAAGCTGTAATAAATAAATTCAATTTTTTGCGAGCTAGAAACTTCCATTTTCCTTTTTTTGTTGTTTCTCCCAGGGCCAGTTTCTCTCGTTCCCTGCTGCACAACAACACTGACTCTTTATGACTGAACTAACAAGCAGCAGCAGCTTTCCTGCTGCCACTTGTCCTGGTTTTATTCTGCTCGTGTTGAGCTACCTGCCTGTGTAACACTCAGCCCTCTTGGCTCACAAAACAGCAGTAAATAAAATGGAAACTTCTCTCCTTTTCTGATGTTCAGAATACTCCTTAGGTCTGCACTTGACCCGAAAGATTTTGTAATGAAGGAGACATTATGTGAGTAGAATAACAGTTATATGGGTATCATGTAGGTGTACAAACGGTGTAATATGGGCGTGACATGGGTTTAATAATAGTGTAATTAACGATGCAATATGGGTGCAACATTGGTAAATAACTGTAATAATGCAATATGGATGTTATATGGGTTGAACATGGGCGTAAGATAGGCATAATATAAGTGTAATAACACTGTAATATCAATGTTATACGAGTGTAAAATACATGTAATATTGGTGTATTAATAGTGAAACAACAATCTAATAGGGGTGTTTTATGGCTGTGGAAAAGGGCCTAACATAGGATTAATAACGGTGTCATAACAATGTAATATGTATGTGATATTGGTGTAATATGAATGTAACATGGGTGTATCATGGGTATATCATACATTTAACATGTCTGTAATATGAGTTTAATATTTTCAAAATTGTATACCTTGAATGGGCAATGTATCTCCGGAAATACACAGTGTAATTTGGAAAATTAAGTTCATTTTTTGAAAAGAACTAAACGTGAATTTTAGCCGAGATACATTAGAAAAAAGCAAATAATGAATTTTCACATTGTATTTCAATGATAATACAAAAAGCTGCGTGCATGAAAAACATCTGAATCTCATGCAGTGCACTAATAAAAATATCCCATTGCAACAAGTCGGAAAGAGAAATTAGGTCAGGACAACAGACTGGGCAACATCAAACAGGCAGGCAGAACAGAACAATGAGCAGGCTCTAATTCAGATCACATTGTGCTGTGTAATGAGAGTGAGGTGGTAGCTACCTTGAGCAGACCCTGAACAAAAAGGCCTGTGTCATATTTGAAAGAAGAGTCAGCCTTGCAGAGGCGGGAGCACTTCCTCTCTGCTGGGGTGAGGAAGAGGCAGAGAGTCCGCACAATCTGCAAAAATTAAAGCAAGATTAAAATACTCAAGTAAAGTACAAGTACCTCAAAATTGTAATTAAGTACAGTACTTCAGTAAATGTACTCCACTACATTACACCACTGGTGTTAGGTTTCACTTTCTAAAACATGGATAGAAATAAAAAGCCCATTTGTTTCCTCCTTGATTGTTCTGGTTGTTCTGCACAATTATTCAAGAAGCTTCATCAGCACAAAATATACTGAAGTAGCCTGAATTTAGCTGAAGACCCCATCTGACATTAAGCTTGAGGCTAGGTAATAATATAATAAATAATGAAGAAAAGTCTTGATTTAATTGGTGCTCAGTTCGGGCCTGGAGTCAATAAAAACCTACAAATGAAGGCTGGGTAGCCCTTTGATACTCATTGGACAAACTCTTAGTGGCTCTTTTCTTCTAAAAGATATCTTAAACAAACACCTTATGGTGTGCAATATCAGTTTTCCTTCTCGGTTAGCATGTCCCACTTTTATCCGTTTGATTCCAATGTCTGCCCATATGGAGCAGCTTCCAGTATATGCTTTCTCATATCACTTTTATAATTTTGTAAACAGTTGCTGCAGTAGCGGAGATGCAAAAGCCCAGACGGAGAATCAAAACATCAAATCAAGCAGTAACAGAGACCGAGGGGCTCATTACACTTTGAAAACCTCCTCCATTACATTTAAACTCATGTAAATACCTTGCCGATTTGTATATGCGCAAATTAATTTACCTTATTTACTTTCTCCGGGTTGCTTCCAACTACTATTGAACAGCCGCAAGTCTGCAGATGAGAGCTGACGGCTCTAAAACACAGAGACAAAGACGTGCAAATTAGAGCCAATTAGTTAAATTAGCATGTCTGTAATCATTAATGACAGCTTTCAGTAATAATGATTGAGACGGAGGGATCCGAAAAACATTCACACAGCTTTACATAGAGAAGGAATTAAGATGAATGCAACTGGCGCTGGGCCAGTGGAGATGGATTACTAGTTAATATTATTATGTTTCAATTTCTCCTCATGTAGTTTGGCTCCTATTCTGGCCTTTTGAATATATTCTTAGGTATTAAATAGTCCATTTCACACTTTAAAGGGATAGTCAAGATGTTTTAAAGTGGGGAAACAGGCAGGAGTACAAGCATTGGAGAAGAGCAATGTTCTGTTTACGAAGGGGGCAACAGGGTTAGTTGGTTTGTGTGACTTGGTAGTGAAATAAAATAAAATGTCAATGAATTCTGGTGACTTTTAAGAAAGTATAGATAAGGACTTCAGTTCCCCGTGGGAAACGGCTGTCTGACAGCAATGTAAGGTAGTAAAAATACTCGAACACTAAAACTGCTTTTAATTTATTTAGGTGTATAATACATGTTGCTGCTGCTCCGTCAAGGCGGGGCTTAAGAAAAACTTAAGTGTGCATGCTCTGTTGGCTCAACAATGTGGACGATTGCTGGTAGATCCAAGGAACATCCAGGGGAGATCCAAGGAACATCCGGGTAAGATTGAAGGAACATCCGGGTAAGATTGAAGGAACATCCGGGTAAGATTGAAGGAACATCCGGGTAAGATTGAAGGAACATCCGGGTAAGATTGAAGGAACATCCGGGTAAGATTGAAGGAACATCCGGGTAAGATTGAAGGAACATCCGGGTAAGATTGAAGGAACATCCGGGTAAGATTGAAGGAACATCCGGGTAAGATTGAAGGAACATCCGGGTAAGATCGAAGGAACATCCGGGTAAGATCGAACGAACATACAGGGAAGATCCAAGGAACATACAGGGAAAGATCGAAGAAAGATCCGGGAAAGATCCAAGGAACATCCAGGGAAGATCCAAGTAATATCCACAGAAGGCACATCAAGAGAGGATCCAAGGAAGATCTAAGGAAGATCCAAGGAATCCAAGGTATTTTTGTTCTCAAGAGTTAGGCCATTTTGGCTTTATGTGGCACTGCGAAGAATTCCACTTAAAACATTCTAAATATCCCTTTAAGTCCTCCTTTGTTGGCCAAAATATAACTTTTGCCTGATTAGTTTAAAATAAATCATACATTGCCCCACTCACACACACCTAGTCTGTTTTTCTCATATTAAGCATCTTCATCAGCTATACAATCCTGAAGATGCAACTAAATCAATTCCAGTGTACAGATGATTTTTCATCACCACAGGGTGCCGAGTTAATTCTGTTCCACTGTGAGCGATTGCATGCAACGGACTTTCAGGACTCTCAACCCTAACAGCGATTTAGCTTTCGCCCCTTCTCCGGAGCCAACTTCGGCTAAGTGGAGGGCTATTACTCATCATTGGAAGGTTGACGGGTGTTAAATGGACGATGTTCATCATCTGTCTCCATTTGCCTGAACCGGAGAGTGCTTACTTGTGGAGGAAATCCTCGTGGCAGCTGTCCCCGATGTCATCATCATTTAGCACCGTGTCTTTTATCTACTCAGTGGGACAGAAACAAATGATTCATTTTAAAAATTGGTCTCAACAAAGATGAAAGTGCTGATGGGTACATTTGCAGGCACAGCTATGAAAAATAAGATGCACAAGTGTGTAACAAAGCAGGAATCCGCCAGAAAGATTCCAGGCAGTCTCTTTGTGCTGCTGCTTTTTCTGTCGCATTTGCATATCATGTGAGAAAATGTGTTGAATCGCACTGGGTGGTAATCTAGGCAGAGAACCCGGATAATTTAAACCTCTTGGAAATAGCAACTATTTGAACAAGTACAAAATGAAACAAGTGAGATTTAACACAGTTACTGCTTTTCCTTCCCCAAAAGTCCTATATGATACATATTCAATAGAGATGTAGAGTCCCTTTGTTGCTTATTGTTCAGTTTGAAGTATGCGAGGTAATGTACAGTATGTGTATGTGTACGTGTACGTGTATGTGTATGTGTATGTGTATGTGTGTGTGTGTGTGTGTGTGTGTGCGTTACTCACGTCTATATCTTCTGGCACATGGTGAGACTTCATGGAGGCCAACAGCTCCATGATAGGGATGATCTCCAAGCTCAGCACCGAGATGATGTTGTAGCCCTAAAGTTGAAGGGCAGTTGAAAAAGTGAAATCAAGCACAGCATAAATACCCAAGTAAATGAACTGAGTGGATTGGATATATTCATTATTGGGCGGGAATTATGAAGGTGTAAAAATGATGATAACCATTTACTTTCATACCATGGAAAGCTGTGATACTTAGATTATGCTGGTGTTATCTATTGTGTATCTTGTTTTGTATGTGTTTGTACGGCGACCTTGAGAGCCTTGAAAGGCGCCTATATAAAATAAATGAATTATTATTATTATACTGTTCCAACGCTAATTTAACTTAATACTGTTATTTTCGTGTTGCACTGAAATTCTTGATTAAATTAGAAAATATGGATTGCTTTTAACTCAATTTAATTGACACAGGAATATTCAACAATAGGCTTTGCCATAGGGTCTATTTATTAATTAAATTACAAGAGAAAACATGCTATTTTATGATATATCAGTATAGAGATTTTTCAAAATAGATGTCCCTGTCCACATTCAAGAATAAAGAGTGTTGATAAAGCTTAAGGGCTTAGTTAGTTAGGGCTGGCCCAGGCTTCACATGAACATCCAATTTGTATGTTTTATTTTATAAATGTTATTACACATTATCACATTATCATTATTGTCATCTGGGTTGTCTATGTTGTCCTTTTAATGCATTTTAATCTATAATTTATGTTTTGTTGATTGTAAAGCCCTGTGAGACAAATGTATCATTTGTGATATTGGGCAATATGAAGAATTAAGAAGAAAAAAGATGCGTGCCAGATGTCAGGTTTTTCTGACTGGACGTACAATACCAACCTTTAGTACTTGACAGTTTTTCACACATAATTGTTTTACCGATTTGCCCAAAAAATACTGAGGATATAAAGCCCTGAGGCCAGTAATGAGCATCTTTCAGCAATGAGGACTAAGAATTCAAAACCTACTAAAATATTTAATATCTCAGGGTGTACAGTCTGACAAAGAGAAACTCAATTCAATATGTAAAGCTAACAAACGTTAGCAGAACTTGAGTGATGCATTCATAGACACAATGCTGGTGGACATTTAATCAAATTGATGAAGTTACAGCAGTGTGTGTATTTTCAGTGCATGAAGTTATTTTCCATGCTCCCATTATTACCTCCTCACTAGCCTTCTCAGTAGGAGCTCTCAGAGCTAATTAGCTCATTTAGTCCTCTGTGTTTGGAGACTGCAACTTTATTGTTCTGCCAATGTTGTTGCAATCCCAAATGGGAGAAACTGAGGTGATAGATGACTTCATACCCAGTTCAACTAAGAACTTTGGGATGGATCGGGTTTTAAAGTAGGTTTAAGAAGGGTAATAATTTGCCTCATTAGTCAAGGGATAAGCAAGAGTACCTTCTGCATCCAAATGCGTCCCTTGCGGATAACGTGCTTTAGCCTCTCCACGCAGATGGTGTGCAGAGGAAGGTAGAAGGCCAGCTCTGTTTGAGGCAGGATAATGGACAAGGCACATGTGTTCTTATCCCCCTTCAGCTCGCCATCGAAGATAAGAGACACAATGATGACGCCCTTCTCCGCCAGGACAAAGAACTTCACGTCCACGGCGCCACACTCAGCACTTCGCAGGATCTCCCCGTTTAGTGTATGATTGGCCAAAAATGTGACCTCTCCATCGCTGAGGAACATCAGCTGCTCTCCCTTTGGTGTCCAGATGTGGCGCACCCGTGGACCCAGGATGTTGTCCCAGTAGGCGAAGGTGGCCGCCAGCAGCGGGCATTCTCCCTCTACTGCTACCTCAGACTTAGCCACAGCTGGTGACTGGGGGGGACAGCCGGAGGACATGAGAGAGGGTGGGAAATGTCCCCAAAGTCAGAGTGGATGATAATAAACCTATGTTATAAACAGAGAAAAGAAAAAAACAAAACTGAATTTAATTAAAAAACACAGCCTCTGATGTGACAAAAGAAATTGCAGAATGATAAATATTAAACTAACATAATACATTGGGTTTGATCAGCCTAAGTCTTTAAGGGGAAATGAAAGTGATTTGTTTGGAATGTGTCAGCTGATACTTTTCAGAAACAGAGAACTACTTCTCTTTTTCTGACGTTGTCCTGTCTTGTTTGACAAATATATGCAAGAAAACACACACTAATAATAAAGCTAATACATGTCATTCTTTATGGACGTCTCTGTAATTCCACATTTATATTAAAAATGTTCTAGCACTAGCAGCTGGAAACGTAAGGGATACGCCGATATCATACACACAGCATTACGTAACACAATAAATAAGGATTATAACATCTATTTGATTGATAAAAAATATGCCGAATTTACCAGACACTTCTGATAATAATGTATTTGTTACTAATTTGTTGCCAGGCAGTTATGTGTATCCACAGGAAGCAATACTGTTTAATATTGACCGTTTTTACAACAGAGTCTGGTGTCATTTAACGTAACACTCAAATGTACGTATTTTAATCTTACGTAACAATGTATGGGGTAGTTTAAAGCTAAATGGCAGTATCGGTAAATACAAAAGTAACCTCACTTTAGTGTTTTACCGGTTAATATTCTGTAGCAGAAACATTTTAACTCAATGTTGTGCAAGGGTAGCTAACTAGCCTTAGCCAAACTAGCACTGATAGAGTAAAGGAATGACATCGCCATGACTTACTTTTTGGTGGTAATTCGTCCCAAAGAAGCTTCCTATTAGAGGAATAATTCTATATGTTGCTGAAATGGCATCATAATAATTTGTCTGTATCCATAGTATGTAACTTGTAAATGATGAAGCTGCAGTGTTGTTGTGTTGAACACACTTCCTAGTACGTCAGTCCTACGTCACTCATTGTTGGAGATGCACAGCGTCCTCTAGTGCACGAGGCATGGCAGTGGAGTGAGTGGACTGTTAATGAATGATGTCATATTTATTTCAGTCGTCCATCTGCAGATAAATAACTTATTTTAATTATTTTAGATGAAGCCCGTTCATACGAATGGATTCATCCATGGGCAAAACTCTTTTTAATTGCCTTTTTATTTTATCCTTTGAGGACTTGTCTTGAGCCACCCTTACAATACCTAGTGCTTTTTGTTCTGCTCTCTCCAATCAAACCACTGAAAATTGCAATCACGACATCTCCCATGAGGACTTGGGTGAAGAACTCCTCCACTTAACACAGGAGTGTGCTATTTTCCTTGACGATATAATTTATACATTTACAGGAATACATACAAAACAGTCCTTCTTTACCTAAAAGACAATTAGGAATTCCCTTCTGTGACACATCTTCAGAGAAGAGCATATTTAGGTAAGGCAAAGGCTGAAATGGCTCCTCAGAGTGAATACTCTAGCAAACAGCAAGCCTGCAAACAGAGAGTAACCATCCAAATAACTTTTGGTGTTGTCCATTCATTTCAAATGCTTGTGGCATCCTCACAAAGACGACATGATTCTACAAAGACACTGCCCCTGGCTATGAACGAGTCCGGCACTGAGCCCTCTTTAGAAAGCACAGACTATTTCACATATTAACTGTTGAGGGGATGAGGGGAGTAAATAAACCCAGGGAAAAATAATCAAAGAGAACAGAAGAATGAAACAGAAAGAAAACACATTACGCACAACACCATGGCACATAACATTAATTAACCAATGAAAGATGTTACATTATAGTTAGTGAGCCTAAGCTTTCACTATTTATGCTAACCTAAGCTTACAAGGTGCTGCTTGTGAACATCAATGTATTGTCAGCCTAGCTTTTGACCTTCACCATCTTTGTTTTTTGGAACCAGGAGGTTTTTTTAGACAAATAAATCTTGCAAAGCCTAACATTCAACTACAAATTGTACGTGTCATTTTTAATGAAGATGTAATACTTTGTCAAAGGGTTAAGTCCTAAAAAGGAAAACAAGGGCAACACCCAAACCAGTAATCACTGTGGTAGCAACCTGTCGATTGAAAGCCACACCCTAAAGCACGCCAAGCTTTATTTATGTTGGGGAAATATTTTCCTAGGCCCATAACTTTGACCCAGTTTATCAGTTTGTACTGACCTCATTGAGCTCAGGCACCTGCAGCCTTGTTGACGTCAGCTGATAGAGGTGTTATAGTGCATTGCCTGATTTATCTTGTTATGCAGCATGTTGATTATTCTCTCAGAACCAGCTAAATACATGGGTCTGGGGTAGAGATCTTCAGAATTGGTTTGGCATCTACTGTGTCAACTCGTGGCACACGACATGTCTTGTGAATTCTCCGGCCGAAGCTCCAAATAAACCATCAGTGCTTGCCATCAAAGTTCCTGCTCTCCTCGTGTCTCTCTGAGTCCTGTCTGCATTGCTTTAGAAGTTTCCATCACAATCTATTTTCACATCATAAACGTATTAGAACATTTGTACCTAGGTGATAATTGACGTAAAAAGTAGGGACATTTTCTTTTGATTTTTTTTATACAATCTGACTTTTTTTTTGCAATCAGAAGAGTTGTGCTTTACAGGCTATTTGAATGAATGAAGGTTTTAGCCACTTTCACATTGGCTTTGCTTTTAAAAACTGGGTTGGCGCTTGCTTGTACTCTATCTGACGGACAGAGTGGTTCAAATCTTCTCATACAATTTTTAACCAGAAAGAGAACAAACAAACAATTCCTATAGTTTGTGTTACCATTCATGGGCATCACTTTGTTAGAAAAAGTGGGGAGGACACTTTTTTCAGATTTAAAAAAACACTTTTAGCGCCCCTTGCAAACAATACATACTATACATACATACAACATACATACATACATACATATACATACATACATACATACATACATACATACATACATCACATACATACATACAACACACACAACACAGACACACACACACACACACACACACACACACACACACACACACACCACACACACACACACACACACACACACACACACACACACACACACACACACACACACACACACACACACACACACACACACACACACACACACACACACACACACACACACACACACACACACACACACACACACACACACACATACATACATACACACACACACACACACATACATACATACCAGCGACGTGCAGTCAGGGGAGGCAGGGGAGGCAGAGCCTCACCTGTCATACTCATAGACTGGCCATACTACAATGCAGGGCCGGACTGGGACAATAATTCAGGCCGGAAATTATACACCCAGCCAGGCCACTACCAGTTTTATTTTGTGCCATTTTCCTGGATTTATTTGTCAATATTTACAGCGTTGCTGCCCATAGTGATAGCCCTCTAAATCTACTACCCAAAAATAAACATATGGACATGGGTTACTATTTAAAAAAAATTGCAAATCTATTTAGGAACCTATGTGAACATATTTTAAGTGGGGGTGGACCTCAAATCCTATAGGAGGGTCCGGGGCATTTTTTTTTTTTAAATGTTGGACTTAAATGCATCAATCTGGTGCATTTTGAGGGGGAAATAAAGAGAGAGACTACACGCATATGAAACATAACTGTATACATTTAAATAATCATAAAATCATAAGAACATGGCCATAACCAATAACATACTATATCCAATATGAAAAACACTGAAACGTGTTTATTTATTTGTTTTTGGTTCATTTATAGTTGTGAGTGTGTCTGTGCTGTTCCTGAACCAGCCTCACCTGTCTCCCTCCTCTCCCCCCTTCTCCTCTTTGAGGCAGCAGCAAAGACTAGTTTTAGCTCTCAACAAGTTTTAATAGTTTATCTTAACTTTTTTCACCTAGTTAACGTTTTTTTTAATTATTATTCATGCATATTTTACTAATCACTCCCCCCTCAAATGGAAATATGTGTTTACATAAATGGTGACCAAACCGTTTGAGACCCACTGATACGAGGAGTGAAGCAGGTAGGACCCAAACGCAGATAACACTGATAATACCTTTATTTCAAGGGCTCTTATCTTAACATATAACATGGACAAACAAAACACTCCACGGTGAACTCAGTCACAAACAAAAGAAGCACCAACACTGAACACAGGAAGAGACCAGACTAAATACAGGGAGGGGTAATCACAAGACGAGAAACAGCCGGGCAGGGGAGGAGAAACACAAGGGCCACAGGTGAACACAATCAGACAATTAGACACACCAGGGAAACTAACGACAGGGAGGAAAAACCCAGGGAGAGGGACCAGACAATACACAAGGAGGAAAACATGACAGAGAGAACAGCAAAAACACCCAAACCTAGACATAGAAATGTGACATGACATGAGAATCGTGACACCCACTGAGATAACTTAGACTAAGTTAACTATCTAAACACCCAGAGAGTCCTTTACCTCACCTGAGCTGTAGTTATCAGTCTCTCAGTCTGACAGGAGAGGACTCTCCCTCCACCTTGTTGTTGAAACAGTTCCTTATATCCGTTAGCGCAGCTAGCTAGCACCAGATGCTAACAACAACAATACACGTAACCGGTGCGCGTGCTTTATCTCACTCGCTCGCGCCACACATAACACACACCCGCCGGAGATTGAATGACACACAGAGACCAATCGAGGGTATTAGTATGATCTGTATGAAAGTGGACATGTGGGCAGGCCACATCATGTAGACAGCCAGTCACCCTCTGTGAGGCAGAGTCAGACCCACATTTGCGCAGCGTTGCGTTCACAATACATTACATACATTAAAAAAAAATCCTCAGGCCAGCAGGCCACTTAGCAGGCCAGGCCATTGGGAAACCTCCCGGTCCTCCCGAAGGCCAGTCCGGGCCTGCTACAATGTAACGGAAAAACAACTAAAGAAAAACTAAATAGTAATAATAATAAATGTCTCCACTGATCTGTGTTGTAAATGTGATTTATGTTTGATTCCAATCGCTTTTTATAGTCAAAATCAGCACATTTGCCGAGCTCCGCTACAACTCCTATGGGAGCGATGAGGAGTGAGGCAGGGACGAGCTCTGCAGTAACTTGCTGGAGCGCAGGCACTAATTTAGCGCGGGCACTTATTTTGTGAGCGCGCTCAAGCAAGTTACTGTGTGGTAAGGTGAGGCAGTGGCACAGATGAGCTCTGCCTCACCTCAAAATGCGTCACCTCACAGACACTGGCTGGAAAGCGGGCCCTAAGTGCATGCCTGTTACCATCTCACTGTAGGTCACCAATGTAATGTTTGTAGATCCCTTTATTACATTTATCCTCGCCATCCATAGTCTCAAAATAACTTATTTCACGTATATATGATATTTAGGCTCGCCGTACAACGGCAATGAGAAAAGCACCAGGGGAGGCAGCCATAACCTCTGCCGCACTGAAGGGGGCGCAAGTGAGGCCACAGGTTCTTGTTGCTACTGTTATTCTACGCAGGGACGGTAGCGGCAGAGCCGTATATACGGCTCTGGGTAGCGGTAGACGCGAACAACAAACTAGACTTTTGAAACTAGAGGAAGATAAGGAGGACTTTTACAAAAAAGTAATAGAGATTGTTGTCCAGAAGGATAGCATGGACTTCATCTTCAAGTCAAGGTAAGACCACATTGGTAATGAAAATTGGTTCTTACTAAGAAAGAACAATCCAATATTTAGATTGTGGGTATCCTTTTGTTGAACGGTCTGTTTAAAATGAATCGAAACATCAGACCAAAAAAGCTTTTGAAAATAACAGAATATTTCGATTAAGGTCAGAATATAATATTTGTAAATCTGACTCTGAAAGAGTCAGTGCCTCACCGCACGTCACTGATACATACATACATACATACATACATACATACATACATACATACATACATACATACATACATACATACATACATACATACATACATAC